ATCACTGGCCTTCCATACACATCCCCCTCTCCTCTTCTTCCTGCATTCCTGCACATCACTGGCCTTCCATACACATCCCCCTCTCCTCTCCTTCCTGCATTGCTGCACATCACTGGCCATCCATACACATCCCCCTCTACTCTCCTTCCTGCATTGCTGCACATCACTTGCCATCCATACACATCCCCCTCTCCTGTCCTTGCTTCTTTGCTAGTCATTCCTGTGGCCCCCTCTCACTGCAATATCTAGAACACTCTGGTAATGGTGTATTTAAATAAGAACATTGGTGCAACTGCTTAATTGTCTTGGCACATGTGATCAGACATTTCTAGAAATTGTCGCCTAGCACTTTTAATGTGATTTGGTGCGGCTGGTGCATCATCAATAAAACTTTTCTTATAACATTGTTCATTTGGGGCAAGGAAAATGCACCAATATTTACATCACAAAAATCACATATCTCTTCTTGTTAATTACCTCTATAGTTTGTGAACAACTGTAGCAGGATAATCTATGTATGAGTGCCATTACTTACATTCTGTCTGGGAAGTGATATGGAAAGCCCCATTGCTGTTCTGATTACTAAGCAGGAAGCATAGCATGTATGTACAGTAAATAAACAAAGTTCCCCTATTTACAAATATAATACAAAAAGGAAAAAACACACAGATAGGATTGTATCATGTCTTACAAAATAATAATTTACAAGAACAGGGTTGAGCTACCAAAAAAGACAAGGCCTGGAGATTCATTAACCACTTAAAGACCAGGGTGTTAAACCCCCTTCCTGGTCAGGCAATTTTTCCGTATTCAGCGATGTGGTACTTTGACTGACATTTATTCTGTCATGCAACACTGTACTGAAATGAATTTTAGACCATTTTTTAGGGACAGATAGAGCTTTCTATTGGTGGTATTTAATCACCACTGGGTTTTTATTTTTTACTATATAACAAAAAAAGTACCTTAAATTAAAAAAAACCCTGTTTGCCTATGAAATGTAACTAAACATGTATTATCACCCCGATTGTTTGATAAAACATAAAAGACGGGGTCATGTCGGGTAAATAGACACCAGACATGTCAAGCCTTAAAATTGCACGCGCCCACAAAATTGCAAAAAACGACCACACATCGAAAATTAACCATAGCCAATGCTTTAAATGCTTTTACTGCTCATCAGTTTAGTGTTAAGAGTGATTAATGTCCCTAAAATTATTGCTCACACTTCGACGTTCGCGGCAATATGTAACATGTGCAGCACAATAGGAGCAATAGTATACTTTATTGGTATCAAAAGGGAGGGCTAAGAAGGCACCTATGTTATAGCCAATTTACATGACAGGTCCTCTTTATGGAGACATCAGGGGTCTCCAAGAATCCTAATGTCACCTAGGGGCTTCACCAGCTTCTTCCCAGCTTCCAAGTTTAGTGTCACTTTAATTTATTAGTTACTTCTATAAATTCCATTTTAATCTGCTAGTCCATCTAACAATTAGACATGTACAATTTGTTTAGTTCCGAATCGAGATGTATCCGAATTCCGAATTACAGATAAAACAAATGCAAACGAATCTGAATTTCCAATTCCGAAATTCGCTAGCGGTTTTCGTTCGTTGCTGCAAAGTGATATTTAAGATTTTTTTTTTTTTTTTTTACAGTCTGCAGAAGAGGGAAAAAAAAGCGTGAGGTTCCCCCCAATTGATACCAGACCCTTTAGGTCTGGCAGGAATTTTATGGGGGCACCCCAGCCCCACAAAATTGGGAAAAACCCATGGGGTCCCCCCTAACATTCCTACCAGACCCTTGATCCAAGCACAGGACCGGCAGTGCTGGAAAGAGGGGGGACGATCAAGCGCCCCCCCCTCCCTGCGCCTTACCTTACCAGGCCACGTGCCCTCGGCATTGGGAGGGTGTGCCGATGGGGACAAGGGCCTCTTCCCCACAATCCTGACCCTGTGGTTGTGGGGGTCTGCTGGAAAGGGGGCTTATTTGCATCGAGGTACCCCTTTAATTAAGGGGGCACCCAGATGCCCCCCCTTGTGAATGAGTAAGGGGCACTTGTACCCCTACTCATTCACTAAAGGGTTCAAATTCAAAGAAAATAAACAAACCGCACTTTTAGAGAAAATCCTTTAATTGAAAACAAAAACAACGCGCCAATTTTTGACTATTCCTTTAATAAAAAAATAAATAAATGGCTCCATCGATATAATCCAGCGTCAATCATGATGCACGACGCCCACCAAAATAAAAAAAGTGCCGCCGCACGACGATCGTCCGAAACCGATGAAAACTCGCCGCAAAATGACATTCAGCCCGAAAGTAAACAGATGGGTGGAGCGAGCCGTGACATCACGGCTCGCTCTGCCCATGTGACATTCTCAGCAGTCAAAAATAACATAGCATTCGGGAGCTTCCGAATGCTATTCATGAGCTCCCGAATGCCATTTGGGTCTGTGAGCCGAGGTGTCATAATACTTTTAATCAGAGCCGTAGCTAGCTAGGCAAGAACAGAAAATTGTGCCCCCCAACAGACCTGTGCGGTATTTGACGTCATGCGCCCTGCCTCTGGTGGCCAAATCCAAAATAGCATAACAATTTGTTTCGTTTGACGAAACTAATGAAAACATTTTTAGTTTCCGTTCATTTAGTCAGAAACAATTTTTTTGTGTTTGCACATGTCTAGTAGTGTGTGTGTGTGTGTGTGTGTGCTTTGGGTGTTTTTTTAATTTATTTTTTATGATTTCTTTTTTTCACTGTTGCTTCAGGGAAATATCCGGGTTCTAAACAGACTCCTGACATTTCCCTTTTTAAATAGAAAAAGAGATGAGGACACAGAATCCTCTGCCCATACAGGTGGAGAAGAGAAGCGGGGATCTGAGGAGAAGCTGGAGCCTGTGCTGCTCCTCTTCTCCCTGCTGAGCCATGGCTGTGATGGCCGTCTAGCGCCCTTGTTGCCAATGGCCTGGCTGCGCCCCCTCTCAGCTGCGCCTGAGGCGAGCGCCTCACTCACCCCATGGTAGCTACAGCCCTGCTTTTCATATGCATCGAACGAACGAAACAACAATTCGTACAGACTACAGAATTTCGTACGAATCCGAAACGAATTGACTTTCAGACCCGAATCCTGAAAAACGAAATAACGCAAAATCCTAATCAAAACTATACGAAACTAAACAATTTTTTTGCCGGTGCACATGTCTACTAACAATAGAACTACCCTCTTCAAAGGCTGACAATGCAACAAGGGTTGCTATGTTACTCCTCCATAGATACATTGGAGGAGTGAGTGTAACCGCCCTAAGGAAGAAAGTGTGTTTGCGGGCCGGATCACCAGGTAAAAATAAAAGGGTCAAAAAGACAGGAAGTGTATTTAAGGGCTTGTTTACACCGAAAGCGTTTGCCAGCGTTGCGTTCCACTGCAAACGCAAAAAATAGAGCAAATTCTTGCCACACGTTCGATTGCACTGCGGGCGGAAACGCCGGAGAAGTTTCTAAGCGATCGTGGTGCGTTCCAGCAGCTACCGCTCTGGAACGCACACGCTTTCGGTGTGAAAAAGACCTAATGGCCGGATCACCAGGTAGAAATAAAAGGGACAAAAAAGACAGGAAGTGTGTTTAATGGCTGGATCACCAGGTAAAAATTAAATGTACTAAAAAGACAGGGAGTGTGTTTAATGGCTGGATCACCAGGTAAAAATAAAATGGACCGAACAGACAGGAAGTGTGTTTAATGGCCAGACAACCAGGTTAACATAAAGGGACAAAAAAGACAGGAAGTGTGTTTAATGGCCGGATAACCAGGTAAAAATAAAAGGGACAAAAAATACATGAAGTGTGTTTACTGGCCGGATCACCAGGTCAAAATAAAATGGACAAAAAAGACGGTAAGTTTGTTTAATGGCCGGACAACCAAGTAAACATAAAGGGACAAAAAACACAGGAAGCGTGTTTAATGGTCGGATAACCAGGTAAAAATAAAAGGGACAAAAACGACAGGAAGTGTGTTTACTGGCCGGATCACCAGGTAAACTTAAAGGGACAAAAAATACAGGAAGTGAGTTTACAGGCGGGATCACCAGGTAAAAATAAAGGGGGGAAAAAAGACCGGAAGTGTGTTTACTGGCCGGATCACCAGATACAAATAAAAGGGACAAAAGGCTAATAAAAGAAAATGAATGCAGCCACTACATCTAAGGTATAGCAAACGGCAATATATTAACATGTTTGTGTTTGGGGTTTAACTGCCTCCGGGCCGGCCGTAGTAGAAAAACGGTGATCCGGCCAGTAAACACACTTCCTGTCGTTTTTGTCCCTTTTATTTTTACCTGGTTATCCGACCATTAAACACGCTTCCTGTGTTTTTTGTCCCTTTATGTTTACTTGGTTGTCCGGCCATTAAACAAACTTAAGGGGATGTGTTCTTCCTCATCACACAGGGATTCATCCAGCCAGCGCCTTGTATTGTTATCAGTGTGTGAGGAGGAGGAGGAGGAGGAGGGAGAAGAGACAGAGAGGGAAGCGCTCTATGTGATGCTAGTAGGAGAGCACTGTGTGTATCAGAAAGCAGCCGGGCACCCAGGAACTGAGAACTGAGCCAGGGCTGCGGCTGCCAACCTGAAGAGCACCACCATCATCATCACCATCACCACCATCATCATCCTCTCTCGGCATCCCTCCATTGGCAGCCGGATCTCTGCCCCGTTATCTTCTGCTGCAAGGTGGCAGACAAAAGAGAGCCGATCTCCATCCTATTGATGTAAAGGGGACTATCGCATCCAGCACGCAGCCTGGGGACTCCTCCTGGGGGGTGGGTGGGAACTGCAGGAGGAAATCACCCCCTATGTTCTGGCCACAGCTTGTAGGGATTTGTCATTATCTCCTCCGGTCCCCCCTCTCGTCTTATTGCTGCTTTTTTGTCCTGCTGCTGCTGCTGCCGTGACGGGGACAACAAGAAGAAGAAGATTAGATCTGGACGAGCGGGACACTGCCGTGATTTTCTTGAAGCCATCATAGCCCCATCGTTCGCCTGTGACCACCATGTGCCGGAAACAGTCCAGAGTGCTGGCCATCGTCTGCATCCAGGCGGCCCTGCTCCTGCTGCTGCACCAGGTATAGGCAGCGCTGCTCATGTATGGACCGCTGAGGCTGGCAGACATGGTACTCAGCGGTCCCCTGTGCTGTGTCGTGCTCACTAGTTGGGGGTCTTTGTGTCTTGATCATCAGTTCTTTATTGTGTGCTGATCATCTCTTGTTATCCCATCCTCATTAGGTTATCACAAAAAAAAACAATGTGCTGCATTGAAATGCTTTGCTACTTTCATGTAACCCCTGACTTGCTGGCAGGTCCTGTAGGCCTCTGGGGGTCAGTAACTTGTAATGAGCACAATTTGTCCCCAAGGTATTGACTTACGCCTCCCACACACCTGCTATTAGCCTTAACTGTCGCTGGGGTTGGTTATCATTTATTTCCACTAGGGCTAGTGTTATATCTTGCAGACATTTGGAGGAAACCAGACATCCAGGCAGAGTAGGACAGTCACTGTTTGTATGTCTGGAGTTTGTGTTACACTTGTCCTCTGTCTATAGTGACACCTGCTCGGTGCATAGGCCATTTTTAGTTTGGGGTGTCACTTCAATAGGAGTAGGTGAACTGTTGGACCGTGTCAGAGTGCATGCATCTCTGTTTGGAAAAGAGCAAGTCAGGCACAGGTGGAGATAAGTGAATACGATAACTGATATTATATATCCTGCTGCGATACGCCTTATTTATTTTTTTTCTTAATCCACTCAACATTTACATGATTTCCTGGATATCAGTTGTCACGTAAATTGCAGCCTGTCGGCCCCCATTTTGCATTCTTTATGGGCCACATAATACTTTTAAGGTTGCGGCTCATTTCGTTGTAGTGCCACCTCATAGACCCGTGGGGTAACCAAACAACAGAAGTGCCTTTGTGTCACCATGGCAATTGAAAGGATTACAACACAATCTGGTTTAGCTTCCCCCAGGGATAGATATGCCTGCAGTGCATTTAGAAGCATCCTTGATCGTCACCTTTGGAGCGGTACATTTCAAATCTATAAGAAAAGCCGACGGAATAAAAACAATAAAAATGATAATATTAACAGCATTGCTTCCTCGAATGTGAGGGAACGTGAAAAGCGGGGCTAAATGATAACTGTAATTTACTGCAGCCCAGATGGTACGGCTCACCAGTGCTCATTACTATTTGCAAGGAGTAGGAGATGCTCGAACCCTATCTAACTCCTCACCTTTGTATAGCTTTATCACTATAGCAAAACCCTAAGCGGCATTTTCCCTTTTAATAATGCTCTGTAGAAATTCTGCATGTATTAATGGTTGAGACCGCGGCCGTTCCCATGATTCGGATGGCCTTTTGCATTTCTATGGGGCGGAGGTCCAAAGGCTAACTGACTACCTCTTTGTGTGTGTGGCAGGCATGTTTAGCTGTGAAGAAATTCTTTGTGTGATTTTACAGGGTAACAATAAGGAGGTGGGAGTGGTGTCTTCAGAGATACTTATCCTTCCCTCATCAGTTGGTTCATTATTTATTACCGTCTCTCTTTTTCTTCTGTTGCTTTCTCTGCACCTATTCTAATGGGTTGCTTTTCAGACGATGCTTTTTTGAAATTATTTTTTAGCCTTTTATTGAAACAGATTTTTTTTTCTGGTATTTTCCTTCGTGCATCTGTCTTGCCTTCATCCTACCTTCTGTTTCTGTCACTCTTTCCCCAGCCTCATTTTCCCTTTCCTTTCAACGCTCATTTCAGTTCAGTTCTTGCATCTCTGCTGAGTACTGTCCATGGTGTTTAAACTGGAGCCAGTCGAGCCGTGGGGATTACTTACAGTCTGCCTCCAGGTTTTACAGTCTGTAAGCCATAATGTGCTGACTGGCTTCCTGCTTTTATGGTCTCTCGCTTTCTCTCTCTTTCCACATTGTGTTTCTGCAAAATGAGAATGATAGAAAGAGTCACAAAAGTCATCTGCAGCTCTCTAAGGAGATGACCATTATTCACCCACTAGCCTTTGCTTCTCGTTTGAGGTGTACACTAGCCCTAGATATTCCCCATCTGAGAAGTGATTTACACAAGCCACTGTAACCACATATTCCTCAACAAGAAGTCACTAAGCTAACCCACTAACCCCAGCTATTTCCCCGATGAGAAAGGAATAAACTTCTTTACTCTTGACTGCAGTTGCGAACGTGATGAATGTGTGCAGTGCGGTGTACTGCACAATGTTTTACAAGCATTCCCTTTTACTTTCTCTGCTTGCTTGAATAATGTTTCAATCATTAAATTACTGGTATATCTTTCTTTTCTAGTTGCTGCAGTAATTAAACAGGTTTATTTGCATCCAATCTATAATTTTCTTTAAAGCTAAAAGCTATTGAAGTTGTTAGGCCTTACTTCACTGACAGACCTGTTTCCCTGATCCACCGTTGTAAAATTTGGATTTCTTGCCTATGCTACCCTAGTCTATAGATGTAAAGGAATTTAAATGGGAGTTGTTTCCCGTGTCGTCAAATAGGATCCTTTCACTTTCAGACCTGTTCAAAAAACAGCTGTGGAATCTGATTGGATGCTATGGGTAACACCCTCATTTAGCATGCCCTCCTCTTTTATAGATATCCCCTAATGTTGGCTTGTTTACATGCAAAAGATTGCCTCTTTTAATGAGTGATGCCGTCACTCTTTGGAGAGGCACAGGGTGATTTGTCCGTAAGATATAGTTTATTGCACAGCAAACTAACACATTGGGATACATTAGTTTGAATATGATAAGGGATGCAATCAATCTGTTTTGAATAAAGACATGTGCTGTTGAGTATGTGACATTTTATTTCTGTGGATTTAATGTGAGAAGGTGACAGCTTGTTGGGAGATTTTAGATAAGCTCTTGCGCAGGGTAAGTTTAACATTTGAAGCCAGGGAAACAGGAAATGGGCTTGTGTTTCATCAGTATCAGGGGCATCTGTAGTGCTACAGCTGTGGAATTTAATTTCCCCTTTGTGTTTTCCTATGCACGTTGGCATGTGCCATTTAACATTTTGCTTTGCATTTCAGGTGTATAATTGATTTATTTGCTATGGCATTCTTGATGCTTTTTGTAAATATTATGTGTTCCTGCTAGGAGATGGAACACAAGGCAAAACACAATTGGAATGCAGCCTCAGTTATTTATTTTTCATAAGATACATGAAAGTACACTGGGAGAGTTTTATTGACACGAGCGGAGAAAAGTAAGACAGTATACAGTCCGATTACTATTTTCACTTTCCTGGTGGATCAGGCCAGGAGTAATCGCTCTATTTTTTCTTATTTTGCCTTATTTATGAAAGCATTGGTGGGAAGAACTGTCCCAGACAATTTGGATTGTAGATAGTCATCTTTCTGTTTCATTCTTCCATAATAGAATACTAGTAGATAATTTAATAGAGAGGGCTTCTATGTTTTTCCAGCATTGCCTAGGATATGTGAACTTTGAAATAAAAAAAAAACCCCAAAGTCTCCACAGATAAAATGGATATAGGATTAGCCTCTGTCATTAAAATTATTAAAATTAATTATAAATTGAAACAAAAAAAAAGAAGAAAAGAAGCCATTTCACTGCTTCCAGGGAGAAGATTGCTGGCACGGTGTTTAGTACCATTGGCAGTACAGCTACCTTTAATACTGTTAGGACAGGCCATAGAAAAAAATATTTGCTTGGAACATGCGCAGAGCTTTAGATGGAGACTGGTTAGAATGAATATTATTGTTGTTGGCTAGGCCTATTTCAGCTATAGCATGAGCTATAGTGTGAAGGGCTTGAATCACCGGAGGTTGTAAATACTGCACTGACCATGGAGTAAAGGGACAGTTATTTTTAAG